TCTAGAGAAGCTTTGAAACCACTTAACGTGGCAATCTATAGACTTTCCGATTTTTATAGCATTTAGATAAAATAGCATTTGGAATTGGAAATAATAGACAATAATTTTTCCAATGAGATGAGATTTAGAGAGAAGCTTATTTAAATAATGATTTTTTTGGGGCTTCATTATTTAGACCCCAGGTATCAAATCCTATTAACCATTGATCAGAAAGAGGGTAATAAAGCAGCACAATTAACGAAATTATAGGTATATTATAAATTATGAATGCATTAACATTAATTTCAGCTACAAATGATTTTGATGATAATAATTATGATAAAAGTTCTATTAGAAAAAAAAATCAATTAACACAGCATCAAAGTAAACAAATTCCAATTAGCTCATTATTAGAAATATTTTGACATATTAAAAAATTAGTAAGGATGCAAATGCTTTAGATTTTTGGGAAGAGAATGGTTTAATCTATCTAGAATTATACACCATCGCGAAAATTAAGTAGATTATACATATATTATATTAAACTTAATTAATCACTAGGTTAGCGTTGAACGATCATTCTCTTCATTAAAATATATAAGTCTCAATGACTATATTTTAGAAGATATTATGATAATGCCTAAATAAAATTTTTAAAATAGAAGTATAATTTTTTTAAAAAATTGCATTGTAGTATTATATATTACAGATTTTTCACTGAATCCAAACCTTTTTTTTGTAACGAGGGTTCACAGCCCTACGTTTACCTATAGTTGGTTTTAGGCTGTTTAGATAGAGCTTTATAGATTTAAATAAGACAAACCAGAACACGGCTTTAAAATTATTATTAAAGTTCAGAATAATAACTAATCTAGCATCTCCGTGATTCAAAAACTCTCAATTTTAAACCATTTGTGAAAATTCTGATTTTTTTAAAAATTGATTATACCATGTATTGAAGTTACTAACATGTAAATTTGAAGAAATTTTGCTCTTAACCTTTAAATTATCTTAATTTATATTAATTTTTATAATTTTTCATAATAAATCATAAAAAAACAATATAGAGAAATTGTCTGAAATTAATAGGCTATAGTATATATATAATTTATACATCATGCATATTAAAATTTATTTTTAATAAAATGTTTTAAAATTAAAAATTGCTTTCATATAAAATGAGAAATTCAGAATTAGATGGGTGGATTCCACGTTAATACGTATTCCAGATTAATTTACCATAAGAAAATAACATATATAACTTTAGGAAAAGTTGATTAGATTTAAATCTATATTTCGGCTCGAATAAAAATATTCTTTTGGATCTATTGAGATTTGTTTGTCTGTGCGACTTATTTGGTTGATATCGATTGGAGACTGCAGAGATATTAATGCATATGCAGTTTTATCCTGAGTGGATAGCGATTAGATCAGGGAATAGGTGATATTAACTGTTGTTAGGACTTTATATAAGAAAGGACTTGTTACTTTTACTTTTTAAATTTTTTAGTTTTCTTTTAAATTAATTTTTTCTTTTAATTTTTAATTTTAACTTTAATTTTATAATTTTTTTACCGTGTATAATTTATGATTGTATAATTAATAATTAATAATTATGAATAAAAGAAAAAATTAATTTATTGTTTCAAATCGATATTATTTAATCTTATTTCTTTTTTATTTGGAAAAGTCAACCTATCAATTTTACATTGGTGTTGAAGAGTGGACGCTTTAAAATTTCAGTCTAATGCCAGGAAATGGTTACATGGGAACAAGGAATGTTGTCAAACTGAATTCTAATGCAAAAATTCTGAAAGAAAATCGGAGAATAATATTAGTAACTAAGATGAGTTATTGTTAGAAAATAGTTGAGTTGTAATTAAATACTTATTAAAGATCTACGTTTAACTTTTATTATAAGGGCTGCGAGAGATAAAACATCCTCAGGGATCTAATATGGGAATAAGATAGGCATAAGTTGATAATATTTAGTAAAATATTAGGTTGTTGATTAACCAAAATTTTCATAAAGAGAAACGGCTTCCATTATTAGAAAATTCATGCCGCAATCGAGCTCAATTAGAGATCGAATTTTTATTTTAGATCATTATTAAGATTTGAGATCAATCATGCAACATTATTCTAATAATAGAAAAAAGAAAAATATGTGTTAGAAATATATATATCAGTTGCTATTCAACAACGGGTGTGTGAAAAATTATAATGATTAGATTTCATATGTAGTTAAGAAACTTATGAAAACCAGGATAATTAGAGTTCAGTTGTTGTCAACAACGTGAGTGCGAAAACTATAATGATTAGACTTCATTGATTTCTCAACAACGTATATGTGAAAAGAGATATATATCAGTAGTTTTGTTTTAACAACCGGTTTGAGCTGAAGAAGAAAACTAATAGATATTATAAGACTTGAATGTTCAAGAGGGTATAAAGCATGAGGAAATAAAGGCGCAATGATAATTTTTTTTTAAAAAATAAGAAGATATTTTGATATATATTTTAATAAGATTTTTAGGTAAAAATTAAAAAATAAGAATTTAGATATAAATTTAGTACTAAATATGTTGAAAATAAAATGATGATCAATTGCTAAAGGACGATATAAATCGATCAATGAAGATATGGAGATAGGCTATTTGTGAGTAAAGGGGTGGTATTTAAAATAATTATATATAGTATATTATGACTATGTTATATAAATATATGATTTATTTATGAAAAATGAGCAAATATTTCAGGAGTTAAGATAATTTAAGCAATTTATTAAATAGGCAGAATTAGATTAGAGGAGATAAATGTTGACATAAGATAAATTTGGAATATTTATATATTTTATTGGTATATTGTACTATGTATTTTAAATTTAAGAATGAATGTTATATTATTTCAGAAGTTATAAAGGATTAAATAGATTATTTTAGGTAGAAGTAGATTAGATGCGATCATTCGGAGACCTTAAGATAAATCGATATCTAGGCAGGTGCAAACTATCATAAAAGACCCGAAAGTTTAAAAGATCTATACGGTTACAAGAATTAGGTACAAAGAACCAATCAATTACCAGAGAACGTTGAAAACAAGCGGCTAGATAGAACAAATGGTCAAGACGTTCATGCTGCCTGCAATCATTAATCGCTGACCAAGTATCGCCAATTGTTTACCAAAACTATAATGTAAGATACGGAAGTCAATAATCATAGGAACAAGAATTCGTGAAAACCGATGAATTAAAAAAATTATTCAAAATTATGTAAAAAAAAATTTACAAACTGACAAAATTAAATTCGTTAAAAATTTTAACAAAATAAGACAATTTTCACAAATTATTAACAAAATTAGAAACGTTAAAAAGTTATATAAAAAAAATCATTATAACATCTTTTCAAATACCCTAATAATTGTGAGTCGACAAAGAAGAAATGGTTATATAAATTACCCTATATGATCATGTGGTATATTGTCATAAACCCCAACCCCGTTTTTTAAAAATTTGTTATCCATCATTCTAACTTTTTTCTTTTCTTTTCTCTTCTTTCAATTACTACTCATCCACAAACTTGGAGTTTCTTCTTGATTGGGGGATAGGGATGGGGAAGGGGGGGGGGCAGGTTACTATATAGTAACCTAAATTTCTCAAAATATGAAAATTAAATTAGTTAAGATATTAGTTTCATGATTGAATTATGAAAATTTTAAAAATTTATTATATCTAGACATGGTTAATTTCTGTTTAAGTTATAAAAAGTATTCCTAGAAATTTTCTTTTCGATTTAAAAAGTCAGAAGAATATTTATTTTTTTATAAAGTTTGCATCAATTAGCAATATTTAATTCGTGAAAGTTTTTTGTCCATAAAAGTATGCATAGAGAATCCAATTCTCTACAAAATTTTTGTTCCTTGCCAATATTTAAATTCAAAATCGTGCTTTTCCTGTAAACATTAACGATTAAACAAAATTTGGCAAATATTTTTCATTTAAATAAATGATTTTTGACAACCTTGATTTAAAGAAATTCATTAATAAAAAAAAATGAGAAATAATTATTTTTATTTAAAATATTTACATTAAAATTTTTTTTCTTTAAAGTATATTGGCAAATATACCATTAGGAATAAAAACAATAATTTTGAACTTCTGGAGACTAATTTTAAAAGAATATATATTTCAGTAATAGAAGGAGGCGCAGAGGGAGTTACCTAAACCTCATGAAAACATCAGAGAACCTTTGAAAAATATAAAATATTTTTAGATATGGATTTATTTTTTTTTGCTTATTTTAGAAAGAAGGACCTTTAGTTAACCTTTAGCTCCCTCAGTTGAAAAAAGCTAGGGACACCACTTATATAAAATCAATAAAATACAATATTTCAATAAGAGCACCTAGATCCTATCTTTATGTCATTTCGATGGCAGTTCAAATTTCAAATACCTTTCTCCTCATTATTTATTACTCATAAAATATATAAGCTATGGCATAGCTAAGGGTGGGGGGGAGCGCTGCTATATTTTGAAACAAAGTACAAATATTTTATAGCAAAATGTAATAAAAAAAAAGTTATCTCATATTTTTAACCATTTTCTTATTTAGGGTGAGGGCATAGATGTGAAAGAAGAAAGAAAACTTCTGATAACTTTAACCCACCCTCTTTTTTCTTATCTAGGTAAACCTTACTGTATAAAAGTTAAATATGGATATATATATATATAAAGTTATTTATTTAATATTTTTTTATTTAAAAATTTTAAGATTTTGTTATCAATAAATATTTAAATTTTATCCAATTTCGTTTTTTATTTTTAACAAATTAGTAAAAATTGAAATCTAAAGATAAATTAATCTTAAACTTGTCATTTTTTAATGCATTGGCCTTATTCGTTATCAATTAATTCTTTGTCTTAAGACTTGCCAAGAGTATAAAAATGGCATAAATGCAATTGCAGCCTTATAAATATACTTTATTTACCTTCCCTGTTTATAGTTAAATAAATGTTGTTAAATAAAATTCTGGCTATCATATAAATAACAGATATCCATTATATTTTTTGTTTATATCTAAATAAAATTTCAAATGAACATTTTTATTCCTATCATCTATTTTTTAATAACCATTATCAGAACTGATGGTTTTGGTTATAACCTTCCTAACATTCACGTATTTAGTAAGATACTCCAATCTTTTTAAATATTTTTTAAGCACCTTTTATTTAAAATTATAGATATATATATTAAGTTCAGATCAAACTTTTCCTATATTATATAAATTATTAAATAATAAAAAATTATTTACTCTAATTTTATTCATTCACAGAATAGTGAATGTATACCACATGAGTATAACATATCAAACATATTTAAATAATATTTTCATAGGTGGCCATGCTAGCAAAATCTAGAAATAAATGCCGATAAATTATTAATGATTGCATTTATCTCTTTTTGAATAAACGCATATAAATCAGTTTTTATTTTACATTAGCTTAATATACTTCTATACCTTATCCAAGAATACCATCTTTCAACGTAGACAATAAAAATCACAAAGATTTAGTATATTATAATCGCCCTTTAAAAAAAATATGTTACAAAAGTTTAGTATTCTTAAACAATTTGATTTAACCAATTAAAGTTAAGATTTTAACCAAAATGTTATCATGAAAGCATCAAAATTTCATTTGTTAATATATCTCCAAACATTTCTGCCATTTATGAGCAAATTTTTAAGGCTTGTGTAATATTTTTTTAGCTAAATTATTGGGTTGGCCGTTTTTAAAAATCGAGCCATTTAACAAAGCGTTCTTAATATAAAATGAAATTAAAATTGATTTTTGTTTTATTTGTTGATAATATCTGGGATTTAAATATATTTTTTTTAACGAAAAGAATATATAAATTTCATTTAAAAAAAATGTAATAATTTTTATAGGCATCCATCGCTGGTCCGTTAGCGAAATTGATATTAATCCGTCGGATTTAAAAAATACTTGGGTTAACGGTAACTTTCATCAACTTTATTCAGTGCAAGTCAATTTTTCTAAGCCACGGAATTCTGACGAATTATATAACTATCATCCTTATTACAGATTTTTCTACAGAGTGTGGGAAGTTACCTATGGAGAGTCAATTATGGTCAATGAAAATCATATTATAGACGGGGTTTGTTATGAAAATAAATATTGTTTTGATTGATTGATATCTTTATCCTAACGTGTCCTAAAGCTGATTTACTTTTACTAAACAACAATGTGTTTAGTTTAGAGAACCACTGTTCTAAATTTTTCTTATTAGACAATAAATCAGCTTTTGGAAGTAGCTATATATAAATTTAATTAATTTTCTTTTTAGAATCGGTTCGAAATAAATCGCCTTGAAGAAGGAAAATATTATTTTATCCGAATATTTACTTTGATTGGCCATATTTCGGAAACTTTATCAACTATAAAATTTTTTATAAGTAAAAAAAATAAATAATTTTTCTTTAGATTATAGATTAATGATATGACTTAAGTCGTTTATTTTTTTAACATAAAATTAAAATTTCAAAATGATTTATTTTTTAATATTAAAACTTATTTCAATTTTTACATTTTAGATAACAAACAAGACCGAAATCCATTTCGAGTGTTCGGTAACTTTATATAAAAGTCATTTTTTTTTATTGAATTTTTTCTTTTATAGACCATTATCCGTTCATACCATCGATTCATATGCAATTAGGGCGGAAGTTGTCAAACAGATATTATTCATTGATTTTAACCTTGGATGGGCCAGAATCTAGGGATAAAATTTATTCTTTTTACTTCATTATTCAAAAGAACAATCAACAGATTGAGGCAAGAAGTTTAAATAAGGTAAGTTTGAAGGGAAGAATGGATTATATAATATTTTATTATATTATTTTTAAAATATTTTTTTTTATAAAACGCCTTTTATATTTACGCTCGCATTACAAAAATAAATATAAGATGAGTTGGTAATGAAAATTATTTCGCATATGAATTTAATATGATAATTAAAGTGAATTTTAGTTTATTTTCAAATTATTCCATTTATTTTTCTAACATTAAAAATAGATATAATTTTAATTTTTCACTTATTACATATATATTAATGAGAAATACACAATTTTCTAATATATACTTGGAAAATAGATTAGCTCTAATTTAACAGCTAGATTTTTAATTTTACCATAAATCTTACTTCGTTATATTTAGGATACAAAGCAAGTCTACTTCAACATAGCTTACGAACCTTGGTCTGAATACATAATTCAAGTTTACACAGTATTCATTAATCAACGTAACAAGGCCAGCGAATATTCGGATCGAATATTTTTTCAAATGTTCTAAAATATAAACAATACATATTCCTTTTTAGCAAAATTTCAATACCAAATTTGATGTTTAAAAAAAAACATTTTGATTCAATATTTATGAGCTAAATTCGATTATAATTTATATTTTAATTTTTAATAATATGTTTTCATGCCTCAATTTTTTTCGAAACACAAATGTTAAATCCTTTATTGATAGAATTTACAATTGTATCAGGAAATAGTTAAAATAACATTTAAACACTTGTCACTACTATACTTAGGGGCATAATATAATATCAACTAACTCAGTGCTAGCCCCCTCCCCCCTCCTAAGCTTATATTGATTTAATTGAATATAACAGGAATATATTTTAAAAAGTAATGTTAGATTTATATTTTACACATTCAACTTGCTCGAAGAAAGAGAAATATCTGTCTCTTAAGATTGATAGGTGATAGTTACTTTTATTTTGGGGAATAAAACATAATATAAATTGTTTGGATATATCTGCAAATACTGTGTAAAATCTGTTTTTAAGGTCGAATAAATAATAGCTATATTAGTGTTTACGCTAAACCGAATGTTTATAAATTGAAAAATAAAATTTTCTTATAGTTACCAATTTGAATGGACATGTGAGACTAAAGTTGTAGAGTGAAAATATTCGAGATTTTTTATTATATACTATATTTTATATATATGAAATTTATTCAGAAATATAGAAGTTAATGATAAGGATATTATATTATTACAAAAATTTATATATAATACTTTATTTTATATTAAATTCCTAAAAACTGCAAATTTTCGAAATGTGGGAAATTTATGCATAAATAAGGGAGACATGGTGGAACTAAACCCTCTAAATAAACGTTCTCATTTGATATCTAGAAGGGAACCTAGAATATTTATTTAATCCTTCTATCTTACTTAAAAAAAACAGGAAAAACACTTATTTAAGATGAGAGACTGCTTTGGCTTACTTTAGACATACAGGGTACGTTATGCCCTAATCACTCTGTTTCATCTCCTATCCTGAGTATGTATCATCAATCGGCATTTCTCATATCTTTTACCTGATTACCTTTATCAAATTTTACTTCTGTGTTCTCAAGGCCTAGATATCTACTTCCAATCATTTTTCAATCCAGTCTTTTTTCACCATCCGATCCAAATTTTAAATCAGTGGATAATTTTTTGCTGAAAAAGAGGGAAACGATGTGTTAATAGGGATCCCATAAGAAAATGATTTGGTGGCGAGAAAATCTAATAGGCAGTCAATGGATTTTATTGAGAATTTATTTAAATGAAAAATATAATCGATCTAATCTAAAGAGCGATCTAAATTGGGATCAACACTGGAGGTAATGTATGTAAATTCTTTAAAACGATTTCAATATAAAAAGATTTGTAAAATAAATATTTTTATCTCGGATAAATAATAACAGAAATATTATATATTAAAAAAGAATTTATATAAAATGAATGATTAAATAAATTTTTCCAAAAAATGGCCAAAGAAATGAATAAGTAGAGGATTATTAAAAAAATAAAACTAAATAATAAAATGATTTTTTTTTTAGTGGGGTCATCCAAAAGAGTTGGATACTTAGGAAGTTAGATTGAAAGATCTCAGATTCTCTGTTATCGCTAAGATAAAAATTCCTCACTTGGATCTTCTGTGTCTACAATTCTTTTTCTCCGTGACCTTTAATTAATAGTAAAGTAATGTCCCGAAAGATTCCCAAAGTGTTGGGGATTTTGATTTGTCTATTATTTTTTATCATAATTAGATTGTTTAACTGTGTTATAGCCTAGGAGGAGAGATAGAGACCCTAAGTTGTTCTGCACGAGTGCAACCCAAGGTTAGAGCTGGATTTTATTTTAAGCCATTCATAGCCAGGTTTAGCTTTAAAAATAATTGTGTTGGGATTGACACATGGTAACCGTTCGTAGAATTAACGGAACAGGTAACAAGTGAATATATCCAGCTTTTTATGTGTTGGAGGTATGTGAGGACTGACTTTTTTTATAACAAATGTTGAGGGCTAAGATCATGTCGTCTGGGATGGAAGAGATTAAGAAATAAATGGGAGGAAATATTAGATAAAATAAAAACAATGTGAGCGGATGCCATCAATCTGAATATAGGCAAACCAGGCAAAGTCGAGAAACTTAAACATAAAAGCAATTCCAAGCCTATTATTTAAGTTGGTGCGTGATTCTCGACGAAGTTTTTTATTAGGATAAAATGATTGATAAACAGGAACGGAATTATATAAGGCTAGGTTGTTTATGGTGTTAAGTGGAACAACTAAGGTGCCAAAGATCCCTTTATTTCCTATAGGCGAGCCTAGATGAGTGAAATCATTTACGAGTATAGCCTGAAATTTGTGAGGAAAAGGGAGATGATAATCGGAGGGTAAACAAATCTCACTTTTGGAGATGTTTAGAAAAGATTGGGTACAAGTTTTCAATTATTTTGGGGATAGATAAGATAGCAAATATATACCGAGAGACAATTCCACCATCTAAATACCAAGAATTAAGAAGTATATTAGATTTGTGCTTAATATCAGAAATAAGCAATATACTGGACCGAAGGGATCTTACTTGTTGAATTCCCTCTCCCAAGAATGAAATATAGAACTTTAAAAATCAAATTCTATCATAGCTATTATAAATATAGTTTGAATATTCAGGGTACTTTGAATAAAAAAAAAGAACAACATGGTTTAGTTTGAAGGTATTAAATGCGTTCAACTATTTTTAGTTGGTAGGGATTCATTAGAAAGGCAAATTCAAGTCTCATGGGACCTTCATTGATACCAAATCTCATTTGATTGGGTTTTAAAAAATAAGAAAAGAAAAATTTTAATTCTAGAACATATGATTATAGATATAATTCGAAAGATAAATCCAATTGTGATAGGTCTGATGACACCAACTTTTTCTGAGAGTTATAAATTATTTGATTTATTCAAATCCGAATAAACAATTATATTCGATTTCAAATAATTTATTATTAACCAATGACTACTATTGGCATTTGTTATTCAAATAATTATTCAATAACTTTCAATTTGTTTTTGAAAAAAGAATAGTATAACCTATATTAATAAACAACTGAAATAAAATAAATTATTGAAAGTTTATTTTCCCGCAAAAAATCCTAATAAAAATATATCCAATATTTCTTCTTAGAAAATATAAATTTAATAAAGTTAACATTTCCATATTTATGAAAATAAAGTAGGAATAGAACATAAAAAGAACGAAAGAAAGAAAAAAATCGCGATATCCCATTTCCTGGCCCAGATATAAATTTTAATTTTAAATTATAATTCAGCATATATATTTTTTTAAAATTAGATTAAATATAAAAAAAAATTACTAATTAATTTTGTCTAATCCCAGAAAAATTTTAATTATCATTTTACTTTAACAATAAAAGTAAAAAACATGATTTATACATTTTATATTTTAAAAAAATATATTTTAATCACATATCCGACCCAATATTTATTTTTAAGATTTAATTCCGAACCCAAAACTTGTCGCCCTCTAGATATTTTCGCCGGATCCTGACACGACTATATTTTTTGAAAATTGGAAAAATATGCGGTTCGAATTTTCGCTTCTTAACCCGGGCTTATTTTTTAACATGGTGTAAACTCTGATAACGTATTCAGTCATATATTTGAATGGTACATTGAAGTATATTCTGTTGGTATTCTATTGAATTATTATTATTTTTTTTAAATGTTATTATTATCATAAATAATAAATATATTTAAAAAAAAACAATATTCATTTACTTTGTATAAACAGATTAGCGCGAATTCACGGAGAATTATATAAAATACACAAAAATACGGCATATTTTGTATATTTCGCAGTGAATTCGTTAGTGTAAATTTACCGCGTAGAACCCAAAATTGCATTGCATTTTTTATAATTCGCCGCGAATTCGCGCTAACTAAGAATGAGGGATTAGACTATTAAATTATTTTTGAATATACATTCGCCTAGTATTATGTATATTATATTATGCAATAACAATAAACATAAATTAAAAGAATAAAAGGTTAAATTTTTTTTAGAATTATTAATATGTATTTTTTTTAAAAAACAATAATTCTTTATTTTTTTTTCACTCAACAAACCTTATCGAAATATTTTGTTTCAATTGTTTCATTGTTCTTTTCCAATTGAAATTCAAAGGAAACAATTTCATTCCTAGATGTGGTGGTATCCAAGTTCACAGCCAATGAATAAGATAAGTTCGGCAATTTCATCAATGTTTGCAATTTAATTGATGGAATGGATGGGTAATGGTCTAGAAAGGAAAAGAAATAAACTTATAAATCTTTATTAAACTATTAATACCTAATACTTTGAAATCATTTTGTCCATTATCTAATATTAATTAATAAATTTGCGTTAATACATAATTAGAAACAAAATGTCAATTTTATTGAATTCTAAGAAATTTAATATTTCGGATCCATAAATAATATATATTAAGAAACGTTGATGCATATTTATTAGAGATATGCCGGGCAATTATTAAAAAATTTTGGGCTGACTATGTCGGGCAGAACAATAGATGCATAAAAAACCAGATAGGACCTTGCAAATCTTTGATTTTTAGGAAAATTTTAATTAGACATTTCGGGCATCCATTTTAATTAGAATATCAAGCTAAAATATTTTGATTTTAATTAATACCACTTAAAAATATATTGTCAAACTAAAATACTGAATATAAATAATATTTTTTTTTTTTTTTTTTTTCTCTTTAGCTTTCACCTTTTCTGGTGGTAAGCTCCTTCAACATCTCTCTCCACTTTATGTTATTCGTACAATCTCTTTTATCTATTTTATACTTCTTTATATTGGCTCTAACTTTATGGCCCCATTGAAGTTTTGGCCTTCCTCTTTTACGTTTGCCCATCACTTCCAATCTTTCAACTTTATTTCCTATGTAGTTCATAGGCCTTCTCATTGTGTGCCCATACCACCTAAGTCTGTTTACCATTAACTTAGTCTTAATGGGCACTACCTTTAAACTATTTAGTATTCTTGTACTGCGCACCTTATCCTTTCTTGTTACCCCAGCAATCATCCTCAGCATTCTCATCTCCATAGTTTGTAGACTTCTCTCGTCTGATTCTTTGGTTGGCCATGTTTCCGAACTATATAGAATAGTTGGTTGTACTATGGAACTGTAAATTTTTCCCTTTAATTTGTGTGGGATTCTTTTGTCAAATAGCACTCCAGATAAAGATCTCCACTTTAACCACCCTTGATTAATCTTATTCTTTATCTCTTTTTCTATTGTGCCGTTTGTTTGTATAGTGGAGCCCAAATATTT